TTAGTATCTTCTGTCAACAGCAATTTTTGTTAGCACTTAATTAGTAGAAAGGCAGATCAAATCAAAAATAAGAGTATTTTCAAAAATTAACTGTCACAATATATGTTCCTATGTTTGATGAATGTGGTAGTCAAAACTTATCTGTGAATATAAGCCATATCAAAAGACTTAAAACTTTAAAACAGTAGATGCAAGTAAACTGCTCTTTTACATCAACATTTAACACGATAATGATGACAATTATGAATAACCAAAACAAAACAAAACAAAAAAACTATATTGAGTTTTCTCCTCATGCTAAAACAACAGATAATGATATTGATAATAATAATAATAATAATAATAACAACAACAATACTAATAACAGAAAATTGATTAAAAAAAAGACAAAACAAAACAAAGAAAAACACTAACAAACATTGAGAAATTTAAAAAAATATATTTTCTTAATCACTTCTGGCTATCTGTGAAATTCAATATGACATCCCTCCTTCAAAACATACATACACTGTGCATTACTTGAAATTATATAATAAGGTGAATTATGCTGTATTTTGATTGGCTCTTGCTCATGGTTCATGATTTACTGGAGAACAGACGCATAGATGACCTAACCATTAAAAAACTTTTGCTTTGTTTTAATATAAAACCAATAGATTTTATGTTACTGTGAATCTGCACAGTAATAGATCGCAGATGACATCAGAAGGTGGTGGGAACATAAGTGACACACTACCCTGCACCTCATATGCCACTTTCCTGTCTTCACCAGATTTTGACATCATCTGTGATATATTTCTGAATAGATGTACATCTTCACAGATGGAGGCCAAAAAAGAATGCTCTTTAATTTATTAATGTAGTGTAAAAACAAACCTAATAACAACTGGTAATCAGAGAATGGCAAATACAATAACAAAGGACCCAGAATTCAACATAAGTAAACAACCTAAACTACAGGATTAACTAAGCCCTGATTGGTTTTACATATACAGTCATGTTACATCTGATTGGTTGAGTGAGTATTACATCTGATTGGTTGAGTGAATGACACAAGTTTTGTAGACCACTCAAATCGATTCCTTTGTGCACTAAGTGAAAATTGCTCCAACACCCATCCAGAGAGAGAGGCACAAAATTACTGATGCAAAAGGCAGATTTACCAGTGACTACAAAATTGTATTTAAAGATAGCATGAGCTTGATTACATTTCACAATATACATGAACAAAAATTTTTGCAAAGTCTACTTCTTCTTAAGATTTTCAAATCTCCCAGTAAGATCATCAAAGTCTACATCTTCACTGCCGGCACTGTTTCCCCCTCGAATACTGTCAGGCAAGTTTGGTAAATTTGTAGGTACTGCAAGAAGGTCTGGGAAACTGGAGCCTGATGAAGGGTGTGGTGCACTGGTGGGAGCAGGAGGCTGATGACGAGCTAAAATGAAAGAAGCCATGTCATTATTTTCTCAATATATCCCATAGAAAACAATAATGACGTTGTACCTATTTAACTTCCAAAATCTAATAACGAATTTTCCCTTCTACAATCACATAACTACAGTTGAAGCTGTATTAAGCAGCACTGTATAATGTGCCCATCCTGTATTAGCTGGTCAGCTTTTAAAGTCCGAACCCCCCCTCCTCATCCCTTTGATTGTTGGAATTTTAACCTCTATTAGACAGTCATGGTCACCCTTAACTGAGTCTTAATGGCCTGTTTGTATTGTCTTCCACATGCATTAAACAATCCCTTAAAGTGCAAACGCTGAAGTAAAACTAAGAGTAATCTCTCAAGTAAAATCTAATCCATGTTTATCCCCCAAATCAATGTTTAAAGCGTTCTATGCAAGTTTTTGTGCACAAAGTGGTCAGTTATAATATAAAATGTGGTTTATTATTATCATCATTATTATTATTATTATTATTTTAATTAATTTTTTATTTTTTTAATACATCTATTCTGTGAAACCTGTATTGAGCAGTCAACCTGTATTATGTGGTCACCTCACCATTCCCTGTGGGTGACTGCATAATAAGGGTTCTACTACACTCAATATTTTCTTGTAACTTTAATGAGAAATTAGGAGTCAGTCATTATTAGAGGTTTAAGGGTTAACTCCTTAGCTAAACAGTAAAAGAAACCAACACTGTCAACACGTACCTGGTGGGGAGGGGGCAGTATTCTGGTTGTTAAGAGGGCCCCCAGAGTAGGGCAGGAGGGTGGGACATTTCCCTGTTGTGTGAAAAAATGGCCATGTGAATATTACAATTTTCATATTTGACAAATTATAACAAATTATCTTGTAAATGTTGTGTGGTATTTTGAGTGCCTCTATTTCCCCAGTTGCATGACTGAGTACTATGCCTATGCTATGTTACCCCATCTTATGGTGAAAACCTCCAAAAGCGCTTACCATCAATATCAATCATAACAACCATATTTTGACTGGAGGCTCTAACAATGTTTCTTCCTCTAAACACGAGCACTACAGTCAATATCAACCCTTTCACTCCCATGAATGACCGAGGCAGAATTTCTTCTTGCAATATCAACACAACATCAAGCAGACAAGTGATGAGATGAAAGGAAAATATGAGTTGATCCAATACCAAATTCTCTTAACTAACAATAAGAGTTGTATGACAGTAAGGAGAATTACTAAATGAGATCCTGGGGTAAGAGGGTTAAAGTACATCATGTAATATTGCACTAGGTGCCTTTTTTGTGTTCCAGAATTGCATGGCACAGAAACAAAGTGAAAAAGGCTGCATTTACAGCCCTGAGGAATTCTCTCATTTTCAACAAATTTTTTCCTAATGCAATTGCACAATGCTGCATTAAGAGCAAAAGCTCCTGATCAATGAGCCACTTGGCTCCAATACATACTTAACCTTTTCCTCGTTCAACGGGAATTCATCACATTTGAGTTATGGCAAGTATCTTCTTACTCCTATCACTGATGGGTACACCATGACTGCGAGCAATCTCGATCAAAAAATTTTCCACTCACACCTTTGGTGGAGGTCTAGGATCAAGTTTCAGGATGAGCTACAAATAAAAGAAATTTCACAGAAAAATGTTTCAGATTTGAAACCTTTCATGGTGGCAAAACTATATACATGGAACACCTGCGACCAGTGAAACTTATTGTTTATTTGCAGATTTTAGACAGCTGTAGACTTCATTTATCTTAGACTAGAGCAGGAACAGGATTCCAAAAACTTCATTACTGATATTATCAATTGAAGTGTTACTTCATGATTAACCAATTATATTAAATGCCATAAAACCCTTTACATTATCACTCTGTACCCATGTTATGTATCATTTGAATGACATAGTCAAAAGATTGATACCAAAAAAATAAGGTTACTGATAATGTGCTCTGATTCCAGAACTGATAGTATATTGGACTTTATATAATTCCAAAAAAAAGCAATGTGTGCACAACCATATATATGATGACATTTCACACTGGACACCCATCCATTCTCCACACTTTTTCTTGAATCAAGAGATATCTGTAGTTTTCAGCTAGAGTACTCTGTCTGGTAAATATCTCATTTTTTGTTCTGGATAACAATCTTTCATAGTTTAAAGCCAGTCACTCTTCTTCAGTGAAGAAATTTTTTCCTTTTTTAAATTTTCTGGTTTAAAGAAACGAGATAAAATTCAGTATAAAGAAACCTACTGTGAAAAGCTATCAGTAATTTTCAAATTACAGTCAAGTTAACACTCACTCTTTGATTCACTGTGCTATTGGCATTGATTGCAGCTTCATGTACAAAATGTTTGCCATATTCAGTCTTAGCTAGTCAGAGATCTGCATGAAATGACAAATTAAAACCAATAATAAAATTAAATTCATTGAATAATAATTGGCAAATTATTCAAAAATAACTTTCAAGACCTAAATACATTTGAACAATGTTTGCATCATTCTGCTTTGATTAATTTATAAATCAATTTCACTTTTATTCATGAATACAAAATATTGTCCTAATGACTACCATTGTAACTCTTTATTCAATCATCATGATCATTTTTGTAATAATTATAATACAGTAATTTGATTTTTCCTTTTTAAATGCTGTGCATCCATCTTAGTGATATTGACTTTATGTGAGTCTTAGAGGATTGAGGCAAAACAGTCACTACAATAAATTTGGGAATTGAGATATGTCCAGAAATGCATGCAGTAATAAAAATTACTATAGTAAAAATTTGCAAAAATCATCAAATCCATGAACATTCACTCAGCTTGACAAAATCTATGGACATTAATTCACTTGGTTCTACAAAATTTCGTGAAATCTGCTACTTTCGTGACTGCATGCATGTTCTTTCTTCCTTTCAGCCTGGACTGGGGGTTTTCCCATAAAGTGCAAAGCTACATATGAAGGGGTAGCTTCCAATTAAGTGTTATAAAAGTTCTCTTGGAATCAAATGATTGGGTGAGATTATCAAAGCACAAAGGGTTAAAGTTGTGTGGTTTTGGACAATCAACTATTTTTCAAAATTCTGATTTTTAAAATTGAAAATCTTCCATTGGGAAAGCATTTTCTGTGAATCTTTTTCCGTTTCACCCTGAGGCAAATAACTGAGATGTAAGTCTCCAGCTCATTTCTTCCAATAGTTGCTTCCAAATCGAACAGAGCAGCGGCTGTATGTCCACAATTACCCCATAAGCGTTATAAAAAGAAATAAAATGACAGGTCACTAATCTCCTATACCTTAAAGAGTCAGTTTATTCGTACAGAAACCCAAAATATCAAACAAAATTGGAAAACCATTAGCTCGTTCGCTTGTACAGAAAATTGAAAAAATACAGCACACACATGTGACTTTAGCCCGCCTTTACAAGCACAGTAAGCATAGGAAATGCTTCCAATATTTCTAAGCACGACAAAGCCCCAGTAGAATTCTTTCCATCTTCGGTTTTAGATCTTTCATTTAATTTCACTTTGAACTGGAAATAGCAGTATCCAGTCTGTTTACCGGTCCCCATCGTGACCATCATCAATTATATCATAGTACTTCAGATCCTTCACATGCCCGTCAACAAACAAGCGAAAACCCTCAGGACTTTTATACGACCGTAAACAGTCTTCATCGTAACCATCTTTTCCAACCAGATAATGGTAAATATCGGAAAATCTGAAGTCTGGAATACCAGTGAACTCATGAATCCAAAACTTATGAGAAAGTGGATGGGAAAGTAATTTTCCTCTTAGCAATGTTGTTGTCGAATTAATCAACTCGTCGCGCTCCAGTGTTTCCTTCTCAAGTTTTGGAATTTTTACACCGCCGCATTCTTGCAAAGCTCTAATAGTTCGGCCCTTTTTCTACTCTTACCGATTAAAGAAATCTGAAAAACCCTTTCTTTTTAAAACTTGTGTAGTTCTGGAACTTTCATATTTGTGAAGAGGGCATCATTTGTTGCCATGTTCCCCCCAGCCTCGACTTGATGTTAGTTACCAGACCTTCTCGCCAATTCTCGCCCACATGGTCAACACTGATGGAGTCGCTTT